ATTAAACAATAAAAATTTCTTTTCTTTTTGTTTTCAACAGCCGTACCAGAAGAATGTAACCAAATTCTGGATGTCTCTTTCTACGCTAAAACAAAGGACAACATAATAATAATCAGAAATAACGAAGATATAACCAGTTTATATACCGGCAAACCCCTGACATACAAGCTATTTGTGCCTATCAATGTAGACCACTTAACATTAACTATAACAAATGAAACCTATTGTAGTACATGTAACTTTTTAGATGTAAAAATGAACAGACTATCAATCGGCTCTTCTCAACATACGGTGATCTCTACAGACAATCTTCTGTACAACAAAACAAATTTGAATTTATGGACAGTAGACAATTCTTGGTATTATCTTCAGTTAAAATTCATCAATTATAGTGACGACACAGTAATAGAACAAGACAATGGTTCGGTATCATTTAGTGTAAAATTCATTAACGCTATTATTACAAACAGTACGAATGAATGGAATTCAAGCAATACGAATGATTCGTACCTCAATAGAACAACAAGGATATATCGCAACAACTTTTTAAAAACTCGGATGGTTTATGAGGAATACATGACAGTATTGCAAAGGTTATATCTACCGTTTACATATTTTTACCATGTCGGATTAAATTTAACTCCAATGATAATTCAATTAGATACGAATAATTTTGTATCAGTTCCATTCTACATAATGGATGAATTAGATAGTGGTGGAACCATAAAAATTTCGTTAAGTTTTGTGAACGAATCGTTCGTAGCCACTAACGAACAATACAAAATCGTGGGGTGCATTAAACGGGATGTTAGGGAAATTCCCGTTTGGCCGTTTCATTGCAAAGAGAACGAAAACAAATTTGTTGCTCCAATTCTTTTCAATTCGAGTAAACCGTCTTCGTCAGTTTATTTACCTTTTCCCGAGCCTGGACGATGGTTTCTAACGTTTCGTTTATTTTGCAACGCTTGTGATCCTTGTCGTTGCTCAGAAAATTGTCAGTCCACCTACGAGATATGTACAGAGACTTGCGAACAGGATTGTAAATCTGAAAACGATTGCAGCCAATGTACCGAAACGTGTAGATATTCAATATTGAATACCGATGCGTGTAAGGGTTGCGACTGTGAAGGAGACTGTTTAAAAACAAATACGAGTTGTAACACCAGTGTAATGATCCAAATTATGTCTTCTCCATGTGTAGATGGATCTTGTGGTCAGCAAGGAACTTGCTCGCTCATTCTTAACCAAGGATATGCCATGTCAACGTGTAGATGTCGAAACAATTATAGAGGTAAGCCTGTTTGTCTTATCATTTAAAATTTAAATAGAAACATTTCTGTTTTAAATGTTTACCAAGAATAGCTACAACATAATAGAATAATGATGATAGTAAAAAATATTTCTTTTAGAAATAGAAAATGTTAAACTATTCTGATATGCAATGTTTCTAAAATAAGTGGCAAGCATTAGAGGGTGTTAACTAGGCTTGTGTAACTCATGAACGAGTCGTTCACAAGAACGGTTCATTTCAACTGAGCCTAGTGAAGTAGTTCAGCAATTGAAAGAATTGTAGTTCAGTAGTTCACATCTCGTACAATAGAATTCATGTATTTCCAACCTATCGGAACTAATAGACTCATATGTTTCTCTCCTCCATCCCCATTTTGTGGCAGTCACAGACCAATCAGAAAAAATCTGCGTAAATCTCCGTGCAGGAGTTACGCGCCAATTTTGAATATAAAACGTATAATTTGTTTTTGCGTATCTATTTAATAAAAAGAAGTCACTTCTATGCTCGCGAACGGTTAATTTAGAAATTCGAAAAAGGTTGTTAAAGGTGTATGTTTGGAGCACGACGTTGTACGGGTGCGAAACATGGACAGTGGGAGCGACGGAAAACAAAAGGTTAGAAGCGTTCGAAATGTGGTGTTATAGGCGGATTATGAGGATATCGTGGGTAGAAAAGGTTAGAAATGAAGAGGTATTGGAAAGAATAGGAGAACAGAGGACTCTATGAAAGTCAATAAAAAATAGGCGAGATAGGTTGGAGGCATGAAGGTCTAGTCAGAGACATAGTAGAGGCAGAAACAGGAGTTAGGAGGGGTAGAGGTAGACCTAGATTAGATTACTGTTCGCAAATAGTTAAGGATGTGGGTTGTTCTAGTTTTAGGGAAATGCGAAGTTTAGCTCAGGATAGGAAAGAGTGGAGGTACGTGTCCAACCAGTCTTAGGACTGATGACCTTATGATGATGATGATGATCTATTTTTTCATTCGCTGAGCAACGAGAAGTTTTGTGTAAGAATTGGGAAGTGGGGACGAAAAATTTGAAAATACATGAGTTCTATTGTATTATTGGAAGTTTTGCGCTAAGCGCTGAACTAAATGAACTACTGAACTATAATAGTGAATTCACTGAAGTAAATTGAACTACAATTCCCAAGTCTAGTGTTAACTGTACATGCAATATGTAATTAAGGGACAACAACAATTGTAAGAAAACCAAAAGAAGTTTCAATCCTAAGCCGATTCTCGGCATGAATTGGTAACATAAGTATTAGAACAGCGAGTTGCGATAACAACCAAGTAACTAGATCAATCAAGAACGTAAATAGTGTCACTTGTGGGACGAACAATAACGTAAATATCAACAGCTTACTATTACACTACCACACATAACTTTACTTTACGATAAAAATTAACTAAATAAACAATTTTATTTATCGCTGACAAAATGCAGCACTATTGAAAATGCACGTCAAAATGATATGAAGAACACAAGAGAAAGATAAAATTAACTTTACGTAAATGTTAATAGGTAAATTTGTACATTCTGGATAAGTAATTGTAATTTTATTAATTATAGGTCAAATTTCCGAAACAATATTGAGGCATTGTCAATATGGTTTACCTATTTTACCAACAGACCTATCCTCTCATCCAAAAAAATTAATTACAACGTCTATAAAAACATACACATACGTACGTACACACTCCAAAAATTGTTTGCAATTCGTTACATTAGCATTGTACCCTATTGTAACTACTATGTACATTCCTACACTGACCTATCCTATGACTGTGACACACTGACCTAATTCCGATCAGTTCAACTGACTACATACATACAAGTCCACAACATTAAAAGAACAAACAACTATTATTAGACTGGTTGCAACGTAAACATCGTCAACCACACTAAATCTAATCTAACAAATAACAAACAATGTATGAGTACAAACTTACAGAAGAAATGCAATACAGATGTTGCTAAGTACCAGCTGATTGAATACGGCGTTGCATTGTCGCTTGTCACTTCTTTCCAGAACCGGAATTACATTTGCCTGTACATTTAGTCACCGAAAACGGTGAACATACAAACATTTACGTAATTTTCTTGTTTCGTCGTGCTCTATCATCTCCTGCAAGGTTGCTACTTATTTTAGAAAATTTTTTTAAAATAGTTCTAAGTTGGGCAACTCGTTTAAATAGTTTAAACTAGCTTTTCGTGCATTTTGTAGGTGCCGAATTTTCTCAAAATATTATCAAAGCATTTTATTTAGGGATGATTTTGAATATTTAACAGTGCTTCTAAAACATTTTGCAATAAGTGTCCATTCTTACAAATAAAATACGTCAGCACGAATTAATGCTGCAAACGTACGAGAACAAGTGGGAAGTGATGCGATTGTTGGTGCTGAAGTTGAAGGCGAGTACTACAAGTGCACAAGTTTTTGTGCAAACGCATCATATTCTTTGTTTAGTGATGTTTCTTCGTTATGTCAAACAGCGCACTTTATGCAAAGCCTATTAATTTAAAAAGCACACTTTGAGAATTATTTATCCAGTATATTGTAGTCACCTGCTGCCTCTAGACAGCCTCCTCCCCTCTAGATTATACTTCTTGCATTGTTAAGTCTATATTTTACATTCCTACAAGATGGCTGCTGCTATTGCTGTCTTTGGAGTACGCTCCACTAGGCTCTCACAATATTTGATATTTTCAAAATAATAAAATATAACCTATCTAAATTCTGTCAATCATTGGCTGTTCCTGACACAATGGTCGTATTACCTTCAAATTTATTTCACTTAAAACACGAAGTAAAAACTCATAAGCTAGCGGGACAGGAAAAGATGTGGTAATAGGCATAAGCGTTATAAACTCTTGTTATCTATTATCTCTAACTTTCTATCGTTTTACTTCGTGATACAGGTGAAAAATATCACCCACTCTTTCTCTCACCTCCCACCCCTTCTATCATTACTATTCCCCTATCCAATTCATTTACATTTGCTTTCACAATCCCTTAACCCTACAATTATCTCTCCCTTAGCCCTACCATCTTCTAAATTCTTCTCTCTTCCATGGTCATAACGTCTATTACATATACCTCTGTCCCCTTCAGTCTTCTACCATTTCTAATTATCTACATCTTATCTTCCAACTTCTCCATATATGTTTTCTTTTTAAGCTTCCATACCTCAATTACCTTTTCCTTCAATCCCATCTTTGCTTTTATTATCCTTTCCAAATCCCTGTTTTCCTTGTTCCCTTCTAACTTTATTTCAAGGCAGTAATAATATTTTTTACGAAATGCTGTCAAATTTCATTTTGGAAATAATAAATGCTTGACTATTACCTTTTAGAAGAAAATATAATGGTCCGTATTCTATGAAACTGGATTAATCAGAATGACACCATGGTTATCGAATAGCAAAAAGTTTTTAAAATAAATACAAATATGCAGTTTATGTGATTTATTTATAACTATACGTATCTATCACTTAATTTTCAAGATAATGTAAAACCTATGCGTAACACCATTTTGATGAAATGCCAATTTGACCCAGGTGATTCTTATGGAAGACCCAATAATTCAGTGAGATTCTTCTTAATCATTAAACTAAGGATCACATTTTAGATATAGTACTTCGACTGCTAATTTAGCAATACAATTCAGTTTATTGTCCTTTTTTATTTACAGGATGGGATTGCTCAGACAGCACATACGCTAACTCCTTTGGAATGGTACTTCTCGAATATTTGTTGTTGACATTAAGTAATATAGCGTTCATTCCTTCGGGCATAATAGCGTTTAAAAGGAAATACTACGTTCCATGCATAATGTACACCTCTGTTTTTTTTGCATCAACAATTTACCATGCTTGTGATGCAGGAGAGTCTATCATAAGTTACTGCTTACTACCATTTGGGGTGTTACAATATGCAGACTTCCTTTGTGCCATGGCAGCCTTGTGGACGACTATTATTTCAATTGGATTTAATACGGCTAACATCAATTCAATATTTTACGTTACTGGGACGCTGGCCATTGCAATTGGCGTTAGAGCAAATATGATGTCAGTGTGGTTCTATGTTATCTTTGGTGTTACTAGTATCATAGTAATATTTGCGAGCTGGAGTTTTAAGTTTAAAGTGAAGCGCCTTTATCCGAAGAAGATATATTTACTTTTAAATTTGCCACTAGGACTGATTTTACTTGTTATAGGTTTACTTCTATTCGGTTTATCAACCAGGAGCACGTATAAATATTTTCACAGTCTGTGGCATGTTTTAATGGCGTTAGCCGTTTTTATTGTTCTGCCAAAGAGAAATATATTCTTATTACCAAGGTAGAATACAGGTATTTCATGCAGTGCCAGAAGCATTTTTGAAAACTTGACTTCTCGGTTAAAATCTTCGCTGTTTTGAGGATAAAAAGTTACCTATACGTACGTACACCAACTGCATGACATACGAGGTTTGTTCTTTGTTCAAAAAGTATCGTGAATTTTGAATTTCCGCGGATTACGTACATTCAATTTCGGCCATGTTGAATGTTCAGTTAAATTTTGACAGCTGTTTTGCTTGCACGTGTTTCGACTCGCCTTCGATTTTTGCCTATTCCAAAATATGGATCAAAGAATTCATATCATTTTATCAGAAAAACAAAATTAAGTGCGCGGACTCATTCCGTATGTTGACTGCGACATATGGTGAAGTTACCTTGGACCGAAACAACGATTGTCGGTGGTACAAAATGTTCTCAAAATAGTATTGGCTAACCGTCGAATCACTGTTTGGCTCCCGCCATTCGATTTTTTCCAATTTTCTGGCATGAGACGGGTCGTCACGAAATTCGTACCAAAATTGCTCAATTTCGACAAAAACAGCATCGTATTAACGCTGGTAAAGAGCTGTTAGATTCTGTTAGCGAAAACCCAAATTTGCTCCAGAGGGTGACGAATCATGGGTTTATGGTTATGATGTGTAAACCAAAGCTTAATCAACCCAATGGACACTGCTGTACGAACCAAGACTGAAAAAAGCTCGCCAAGTTAAGTCGAATGCGAAAGTTTTGTTTGGAGTTCTTCTTCGATTGCAGGGGCGTGGTGCATCATGAGTTCTTACTACAGGGTAGAATGGCCTTGCAAGTTATGCGCAATTTTCTCGAAACAATCTGGCAGCAACGCCCGGATTTGTGGAGGAACAACAATTGGCTTTTGCCCCTGCTCACAATTTGTTGCTTGTGCGCGAATTTGTGGCCAAAAACAACACACTAATAATGCTGTAGTCACAGCATGCCCCAGATCTGGCCCCCTGTGACTTTTTGTTGTTCCCGAAACTGAAGAGGCCCATAAAGGAACGACGCTACGCTACGATTAAGGAGATAAAGACGGCATCGCGGGGGAGTTGAACATCACAAAAAATGATTTTTTTAAGTACTTCGAGGATTGGAAGAAACAGTGGCACAAGTGTAAAATACCCGGTGGGGATTACTTTCAAGAGGACAAAATAGGTATTCATGAATAAATAAATAAATTTTAGAAAAAACTACAAAATTGACGATACTTTTTGAACAGATCTCTTACAGTAGAAGAAATACACTCCAAATACAAAACAACAAAATGCCTACTGTTGATAGGGACAAAACAACAGATGAATTGTGCAGTGCCCCTATTATAAATTACCATTTGACCACCACAGTTATTTGCGGAAGCATTTATCATTTATAACTTGCTCAACAATCTTAACCTAACCTATCCCAAAACTAACCGAATCTAACAAAATAAAAATATTTTTTAAAGTGATTTTTGCCTGTAGTTTCACTAATGTTCGACTTATTTTGATTTGTTAGAATAATATTCTACAAGACTAAATTATAAATTTGAAAACCTTCAATAGAAAACTCCGTAAGTACATTAAAAATTTATATTGCTGAAAAGAAACTCAAGCTGAATTTGAATTCATTAAAACTGAGAAATGAAAAAAAAAAAAACAAAGACGCCACCAATAGTAGCACGTGTTCTCTGTTTGTTGCTTTGTTGGAAATTTGTTTTAAAATGTGTTTATCGGTGATAATGGCTATCAGTCTATCTTCTTTTTTTTGTTTCTCTTTTTACATTTTTTAACTAGTAAAGAACTGTTTTATAATGGGTTTGGGTTAACCAGCGTAATAGAAAGAAAGCATTAAAACGGCGAAATTTGGGATCCTGGATTTGAAGCGCTTCATTTTGTCTATTCTTCGTCGTATGAAACATCTTCAGGTCTCTTCTGATTTTGACTGATTATCTGAAACGGTATGAATCCACAATCCTATGAACTGATGCTGTTCTGATTCGGATCTAAAGGTCACAGTTAGTTGGAGTTGCTTCCTAACGTTTCGCTAGCACGAATGACGAGGTTCTTCCATTTCTAATGCTGGAGTCCAGAATCCAGAACAGCATTTGTTCACCTATTAACCTTTACCAATTCGCTACAATCCAATATTTCGCTATTAACTAAAAAAACAGCAAAAGTAAGTTACAAAAGTGTTTTTTTTTAATAAACCAGCTGGACTGTGGTTATTGCTTTCGTTAAGTGATATGCTCTTTACATTTTAATTTTAGCGGTCATTTCAACAATTTTATAACCCCAAATACTAAAAATTTAGTGGTTATCACCATGTCAGTAAAATGTATGTAGGTAGTCCAGTCAAATGAGGAAAATGACTGAAGAGTACCTTATAATGGAGAAAATGATTGAAACACGGGTCATTTTATCGAAAATTTCGTGAGGAACACGAATATGTAAATGAAAATTATTTAACCTGCATTGCGGTGAGAAAATCCGCAAAAACAATTGCAAATTCGATTATCTCGCGAAATAGGAAAAATATAGAAAAATGGTTTCAATAAAAGATTTTCACAATGCCATTTTGCAAGAAAAAGTGTTGATGACCTTTTTTCATATCTCTCATAGAACAATAGTTCTGCGCGCCCAATGACAAAGAGCACTCACAATTCGCGAAAATTTTTAAAAGATTCAAAATAATAATGTAGACCTATGAGCACCTGTGGACACGTACAACAAGAGATATAATGTAATACATAATATAGGTATAATATTATAAGTAGGTAATATTTTGTAAATGGAAGCGTCTGTCGCTTGCAATTATATAAAGTCTAAATAAATAAGCAACTACTTACATGTTGTGAACAATACATGCTTTCATTTCACTTTTTATTAAATTAGAATTAGTTTTACTTTTATTTATTTTCATATAATACTGTTTTGTATTTAAAGCGATCTCTAATCCTCCGTGCTAGATGGCAATACTGTCGTCTGCAAATCTAAATGCTACCAAAAGAGAACTACTTCCCTACTTCCCGTCCAGAACAAAAACATTTATTTGTCATATTTTAGTATAACTATGTACATGGAATACATACGTAATGATGGATAAAGAGCACGAATGTGCTAAAGGGGAACCCGTAAATAGGGGTGTCATCCGCGTTACGAGAGGAGGTTTCTAAACCGCTTGCGAGAGTCCCACAGTAGGGGAGACCGGGGCTAGTTGTCACAAGGGCAAGTTGTCACAGTGTTAATTACAAGAATATAGGGGGAGCTGAGTGGTAGCGCCAACTACCCAATAATTGAAAAAACGTTTAAGAATCACACCACAAAGTATCCTGGCTTGGCGCCTTAATATGCCTTATCAATCTATGAAAAAGCGTTTCCGGTGTGTCCACGTAAATTTAGGTTACAACGAATATTGTGTTTTAGTGAAGCCGTTTTTAATTTCCAGGTAAAAATTAAGCGGTATTTCTTTTGGTATAGATAATGGTTTATTAATTAGTGAAGAAGTAATTCCGATTAGTTTTACTGTAAGCTGAAACCAGATCAAATAAATGAA